AAGATTCAGGTAATTTATGTGGAGTCAAAATATCTTCACACCAATGCCAGTCAACTTATCCGTTACTGAACAATCTATGAAACGAGCCTTGCATTACGATTTGAATGCCATAACAGTTCTACATTTATATTTGTCATCTTATGTTCTTAATGCAGACTCCCGATTCTACTTGAATATAGCTACAATTATGTGTTTATTTGCAATAAAAATTAGCCATCTATGAAACAACGCATGCAAAAATCATCGTAGAACTTTAAATTTTAGAATGAAGCGTTTCAATTTTTAAATTGGGAGCTATCAGAATGCATTAAAAAAATGATCAAAACCTAAACCTGCTTATTTGTAATAGTTTTTGCTATGAAAATAATTGTGAACTATAAATTTAACTTTTTATATTGTGGTGTTCACGCATTTAAAATATAGGTTATGTTGCTGTAATATAGAATCATTTTTTAGATAATGTCTTTCTTTTTTATGAAAATCGGATTATTAACTTGTAATATCAAAAATAAGGTTACGTATTTATGTGGCTGGTGTGTTATTTAATAAAGTTATTCAATGAATTTTGTTACTATTTTGATATTGTTTCTCTAATGATAAAGTTTTTCAAATAATTATTTACTTTTTATTTAATTTTCACATTTTAATGTATGATTTTTCCACTAACATGAAGCTTAATGTTTTTTTGTGGAAATGTTTAAAGCAAAGTGAAACCTAACACATTACTCAACCTCGTTGCATCTGCGAATTTCTGAAATTTGTCTTTTTTAAGTTTTTTAGACCATAATTTGAACTATGTTAACTATGTTGTGATGATTGCCTGTCAGCATTTATTTCTCAATTTGTGATAATACTTTTTGATTGTTTTGGTATCAGATTTAACTTGTAATCAAATTTGTTTATAAATAAAAAGTTAACGAAAAAGAATGAAGATATTTCATGAAACCTTTCACTTGACAACAATTTTTAACATAAGTTGAAGCCAGGGATCTTTTCTTTTTCTCTTTCGCTCTCTCTTTCCCTCTATTTCACACTCGCACACACACGCACACACACACACACAAACAGAGACATGCGTACATATGAACATAGTGTACATATTTACATACATGGATTTCGTTAACGATGTTGCAATCATCTTGATGCACATATTCTTGATGCATTTAGAGTTTTGGTTCAAACAACTTCAAAATTTGCATTTAAATGAATAAATCAGGCAGATGAAAATCGTCGTAGCCTAGCAATTGTATAGCTACGGTACCTTCCATTTCAAAGATAAGTTTGAGGTTTGTGTTGATTCGTTATTTTTGTATTTTTTGTATTGTAAGAAAAAATGTTTTTTGCACAAGTATTAGGTCCTGAGTTCTAATGAGTTGTTTTCAGTAATTTGACGTTGTTTCCTACTGCATAAAAAAGATTATAA